CCCCAAATCCTCTCATGATGGATTATTTACAAACTGAAAATCAGAATCAGAAATACTTTAATAATCCCAGAGGGAAATTACTTTGGTTACACGCTCCAGTTACAGTTTTATATATATATACACACATCCAACTACACAATATAATAAAGATAAAAAATAAGAATAGAAAGAGATCAAATATATACACATATAGCTCTTCTGTATATATATATATATATATATATATATATATATATATATATGTATATATATATATATATATATATATATATATATATATATATATATATACATATATATATGTATGTATAATATATATATACACATATAGCTCTTCTGTATATATATATATATATATATATATATATATATATATATATGTATATATATATATATATATATATATATATATATATATATACATATATATATGTATGTATAATATATATATACACATATAGCTCTTCTGTATATATATATATATATATATATATATATATATATATATATATATATATATATATATATATATATATATATATATATATATATATATATGTATATATATATATATATATATATATATATATATATATATATATATATATACATATATATATGTATGTATGTATATCTATGCATATATAAAAACTAAATCCAAATAAAGTGAATATCCAACTAAAGTGATAAATCCAAGTAAAGTGATACGTGGCGTGCAAAAATAGTGCATAAATGTCATAAACCAACTGTAACTAACAGAGGACAGTTTAAGGTGAAAGATGAGCGACTATTGGTCTTCAGACTGCTGTGATATCTGTACAACATGTATGTTTCCTGTCCTGAAGCCTGTCTAGTTTCTTATAATGGATCGCTGCACATCTAAACACATGTGACAGTGGTTATTCTGCAAAGATATCCATATGACAATATTAAAACTATGAAGTTGAATCACCTGACTGCACCGCTCACCCGTAGAGATCTGTGTGTGTGTGTGTTGTGTAGTAAATGGCTGCCAGTCTTAAATCCTAATCTATATTTTCCATGTTTTGTTCTAGGTTACGACGACAGCGATGGACAGGAAAATCCATGAATGCGATGTGTGCCACAAAAGGTTCACTGAGAAGTCGAACCTGACGCGGCACATGAAGCTTCACGGTCCGAAGGAGCACAACTGCAGCGTGTGTGGGAAGGTCTTCAGCACCAAGCCCCTGTTGTGCAGCCACATGAAGACCCACCAGTACCTCAGCATCCCTCTGTACAAGCAGGGCCAGGCACGGCTGCAGTGCAGCGATGCAGCCACGGCTGTGGCACAGGCATCAAGCAAGGTGGTGGACCGGACCTGGCTGGATCCCCAACAGGCAGAGGCAGCTGCAAAGAAGACCAGCGGGGAGCTGTGGAGAGGCCAGCTGGTCATCAGCTTCGGTTAATACGCCGGACAATCTTTCCGATGGCTGCTGGAGAACGATGTTGGCTGGGTTGTGTGGCTGCTGGCCGAGTATCGCCAGAAGGGTGAGAGGAGCGAGCAGCTGAAGTGGCAAAAGGAGCGCATGCTGGAGTATGTGCAAGACTTCCCTTCTGTCACCTGCCACCTGGACAGGAAGATGAAGGTATGCTCATGTTTTTAGTCCACACAGGTGTCGTTCATAGCTAAGTTGTGTGTGAGCATCGTGCACCATCTTACTCTAAGTATTTTCCCCATAAAAACATAGCAGCTCCATCTGCCTCCACCTCCCAGCTCCAGCATGACCCTTACTACGCCAGTGATGCAGAGCTGTTGGCTGCTGCCGGTAATATTTCATGCTGATGTGAACATGAGACATGCTGTGTTGTATCTTTGTGATATGCTGAATTTATTATCACATCACATTTCAAGCAATCTACTTAATGTCATGCCTTTTCTGTCTGTGTCTTGTGTTTTGCAGAAAGTCTCCTGGATGAGTCGGAGGTGTCGGTCTCCACCCAGCTCACCACCGTGGGAGAGCTGGCTCCATCCAGCAGCCAGCCGGCGGCGGCGTCCCAACAGCTTCCCTCTGCCTCTGCCGGCATCCTGCTGGATCTCTGATGGGTACGTTTTTCTTTCTATAGTTTCTTCTTGTGCAAATGCTGCAAAGCTGCCTCTCTGACAATCAATCTCACACATCTGCGACTCAGCACCTGTGTCTTAATACCTTTCCTGTGATAATGCCCCTCTAGAAGTAGTGTTATCATTCTTCTATCTCCTATTAAGTGAAATCTCATTGTACGATGTATTTCTAATATGAACTGTTTCACATGAAACACTTACTATACTTACTATTCTCACCAAACTGTGATAACTGTGATTAAATTCAGTGTAAACAAATGTCATATGTTGCCACACCTCAGAAATTCCTGCCTCCCTCTCACCATCCCATAAATATTTTTCTATTTTTCAGTCCCATCAGGAGGAGGAAGAGGACTCTGCAGCAGCTAATGAGAGGATGGAGGAGGAGGAGCTGCTGGATGAGGGTGTGGCCATGGAGGAGGAGGACCCCATAGACGGCGTCTGCAAGCAGCACGCCGTCCTCACCCAGGCAGTGGAGGTGAAGGAGGAGGACAGCCCAGCTCTGCAGGACGTGCTCATGAGCCAGCGGCATCTGCACCTTCCTGGCATCGTGGAGGTGGAGGCCCTGGCCGTGCTGCTGCTGGAGCTGACGGATGACAGCGACCACCACCACCTCGTGCCGGTCGCCCTCCGGCAGAAGATTGTCACCGCTGGCTCTCTCCACGAGCATGACAAGACTGCCACCAACTTTGTGAAGAAGTACGAGTCCAGGTGGGGCTACACCCTCTTTGGCCGATGCCTGGGGCCGGAGACCCCCGAGAACTCCGCCGCTCAAAAGACAAAGTTTGGCTGGATGAGGCACCCGCAGGCTGCACAGGTGACAGGACAGCCGTCTGCTCTACCTGCTCGTTAAGATGCTCCATCTGATAGACTAAAATATTGACTCTTTGTTGTTTTACAGCTTTGTTTTCATTATAATTGCAATATGTAAATAATTTTTTATTTATTTTACTCTATATTTAATATTTCTTAGATGTTTTTAGCTATGTATTTATAATTTGTCATATAAGTATCCTATCCATTTTTTCTACAAATGTTTTATAGCTTCTTATTTATAATATTTAACTACATGTAAATTATTTTTCATTTGTTTTCCTCTTTATTATTTAAGTTTTTTAGATGTCTAATAACTTAGTATTTATATTTGCTAGATGTAAATTGTTTGTCATTTAGATGAACACATTTGTCATATTTGTCTAAAGTTTTTTCCCTCAATATTTTTATTTATTATATTTATAGCTTTGTATTTATAATATTTTGCATATGTAATATCTCATTGTAATGTTTTAGTCTACATATTATTAGATATTTATTAGATGTTTCATATGTTTGTATTTAAATAATTTGCTATGTGTAAATAATTTATGTATATTGTTCTATCCGTATATTAATAAATATTTGTTCAATGTTTCAATGTTTTGTATTTGTATTTTTTATGCAAGTTGTATAATATTTTCCAAGCAAACAGTTTTTTTTTAGTCTTCAGATTATCTAAGTTTTATATATATTAAATTCTATATGAATATTTATAGTAAATAAATAATGTAACAGATGTATGTAACCTTTTCACATTGATATTTGCAATTAATAATACAAATCTTTATGTTTTAAAGTGTCTCCTCTTAGTGAAATACATAAAGAAGTAATCAGAAAACAGTGTTGACCTAAGAAAAAAGGAGCAAAATTCTTTCAAATGAAAAAGCACTGTTCCTCGACCTGGCCAGCAGGTGGCAGAGGTGTGAAATGATCAGACCCAGGTTTTTGCTCAACTCCAGGATCAAGAATAAGTACTTGGGGGGGTCATGAGCCAGAGCCAATCCCAGGCGGTCTTCCATCCAAGTACTAACCAGGCCCGACCCTGCTTAGCTTCCGAGATCAGACGAGATCGGGCGTGTTCAGGGTGGTATGGCCGTAAGCCACTTGAAGTCAGTCAGCCAGCCTACTTGTACAGCTGGCTGTTTCCACCTGCTGCTTTGGTTCACATCTCTTGATTGTGGAGATGGACTTGTGCTGTGGGACAAAAACTGAGCCGTTCTTGCCTAAACTGAGTGCCTGAGATTTTGTAGTCATGTGTGAAGGACCGCTGGCTCTGATGGCAACGTTTTACTTTGGAATCGGTTTTGTAAGGATTAGACTTTGGGTTTTTTACCATTTTACCGAGAGCCTGTTTGTTTACACTTCCCCACCAGCTTTTACTATGTCATAGTCGGTTGCGCTCATTGGTCAGGGCGTTGGCCAATAGGCATAGATATGGTTTGAAAAACAATGGGTTGGTATCAACAACAATCTTCCGATGTCTCATTCATTGGGGCCAGACTAAATTACACATTTAATCTCACATTTAGTCTGGTTTATCAGGCTAACTGTTACCATTAGTTATAAAAGTAAGAAATTTTTAAGTATAAGGAAGTTATCATGCAGAATTGTAGAAAAAATGTTTCTTAAATAGGGTAGTACCCAGTATAAGGTTTAAAGCATCTGTCCTTAACATTTCCCCTGCATTACTTTTATACTTTAAGTAGTTTAGAAATGGAACTTTTACACATTTACAACTCTGAATTTGAGAGGACCACAACTTGAGTCCTAAAAGAGTATTTTTAAACAGTAGGATTTATATTTCTGCTTGAGTAATAAACATTGGCACTTCTCCAGACAGATATTATCACAGTTTAATGTCGTAGCTTATTAATACTACAGTAAATTGTTTATTCAGATTTTTTCTGATTTTTTCCTGTCAAGCTATACGAAACAGCAGTATAATTTGTCTGGTTTACACAGCTTACAAAAATCTTACTAATAATGAAAAAATCTTTGTTCTTAGGCTGACTTTCCAACCTGTTTTACTTCTAAATCATAAAAAAAAGAAAAGGAAGTAAACAAAAAGAAGTCAACTGGATGATTCCCTTGATGATCTCACCTCCATGAGAACCTGTCTGCATGCTCCACATGGCCCAACGAAACGGTCTTTAATATCACTACGTGAAAAGACAACAGAATAAATTATGATATTGTTCAAATAATTGTCTGTATGAAGCTCAGTGTCCTACCATGTCACAGCGATGGCGGTAAACTGTCTGTGTCCCTCGGCTACAGCTCTCTGGATGGCTGTCCTCTCTGCGCACACAGTCAGACCATAGGAGGCATTTTCCACATTACAGCCTAGAAGAAACATGCAGACTGTTTTCTAAAGTATTATGTGGTTTACTTGGTACTGATCTAAAAGATTTATGTCTCATACCTGATACACTGATACATCATTTAAATGGGCTGTCAAAAAGCAGAAGTTTACATAAACCAAATAAAAGACCAATAAGCTTTTTTTTTATATCAGTGCCATACAATCTTTATTTCTCTTTCCTGTTTTAGGTCCTTTTAGGAAATATATATATGTATATACTGTATATATATATATATATATACAGTATGTATACATATATATACTGTATATATATATATATATATATATATATATATATATATATATATATATATATATATATATATATATATATATATATATATATATATATATATATTGTAAGTCTTAAATTTCTAAATTATTCATATATTCTAATTGCCACAATATTAAGATCAGTTTTTAGACACTGCTGAATTAGTTTGCAAACATTTTCATCAATTTGACTTAAACAACTTTTATTGTCATTTTGCATACAGAGTGTATGTGAAACGACATTTCGTTCAGCACAGCTTTTCATACAGCAAATGAACATTTCCATTTTATAAGGTGCAACAGTGATCAAATATAAACAGTGTGGGAGAAAAACCATGGTGCAAAGACGCATTGGTGTGGAAGTTCAGAGCAATAAATATATATATGGTGCAAATATGTAGTGATTTGGTTTGGTGTTATCAGTGTGATGCAGAGTCTGTGACATGATTTACAGGTGCTGGTCATAAAATTAGAATATCATGAAAAAGTAGATTGATTTCAGTAATTCCATTTAAAAAGTGAAACTTGTATATTATATTCATACATTACATACAAACTCATATATTTCAGATGTTTATTTTGTTTAATTTTGATGATTACAAATGACAACAAATGAAAATCTCAAATTCATCATATCAGAAAATTAGAATATTGTGAAAAGGTTCAAAATTGATGGCCCCTGGTGCCACACTCTAATCAGCTAATTAACTCAAATCACCTGCAAAAGCCTTTAAATGGTCTTTCAGTCTAGTTCTATAGGCTACACAATCATGGGGAAGACTGCTGACTTGACAGTTGTCCAAAAGACGACCATCGACACCTTGCACAAGGAGGGCAAGACACAAAAGGTCATCGCTAAAGAGGCTGGCTGTTCACAGAGCTCAGTGTCCAAGCACATTAATAGAGAGGCGAAGGGAAGGAAAAGATGTGGTCGAAAAAAGTGTACAAGCAAGAGAGATAACCGCACCCTGGAGAGGATTGTGAAACAAAACCCCTTCAAAAATGTGGGGGAGATTCACAAAGAGTGGACTGCAGCTGGAGTGAGTGCTTCAAGAACCACCACACACAGACGTATGAAAGACATGGGTTTCTGCTGTCGCATTCCTTGTGTCAAGCCACTCTTGAACCACAGACAGCGTCAGAAGCGTCTAAAGAGAAACAGGACTGGACTGCTGGTGAGTGGTCCAAAGTCATGTTCTCTGATGAAAGTAAATTTTGCATTTCCTTTGGAAATCAAGGTCCCAGAGTCTGGAGGAAAAGAAGAGAGGCACTTCATCCACGTTGCTTGAAGTCCAGTGTAAAGTTTCCACAGTCAGTGATGGTTTGGGGTGCCATGTCATCTGCTGGTGTTGGTCCATTGTGTTTTCTGAGGTCCAGGGTCAACGCAGCCACATACCAGGAAGTTTTAGAGCACTTCATACTTCCTGCAGCTGACCAACTTTTTGGAGATGCAGATTTCATTTTCCAACAGGACTTGGCACCTGCACACAGTGCCAAAGCTACCAGTACCTGGTTGAAGGACCATGGTATCCCTGTTCTTAATTGGCCAGCAAACTCTCCTGACCTTAACCCCATAGAAAATCTATGGGGTATTGTGAAGAAGAAGATGTAATACACCAGACCCAACAATTCAGAAGAGCTAAAAGCCACTATTAGAGCAACCTGGGCTATCATAACACCTGAGCAGTGCCACAGACTGATCGACTCCATGCCACGCCGCATTGCTGCAGTAATACAGGCCAAAGGAGGCCCAACTAAATACTGAGTGCTGTACATGCTCATACTTTTCATGTTCATACTTTTCAGTTGGCCAACATTTCTATAAATCCTTTGTTTTTATTGGTCTTCAGTAATATTCTAATTTTCTGATATGATGAATTTGAGATTTTCATTTGTTGTCATTTGTAATCATCAAAATTAAACAAAATAAACATCTGAAATATATGAGTTTGTATGTAATGTATGAATATAATATACAAGTTTCACTTTTTAAATGGAATTACTGAAATCAATCTACTTTTTCATGATATTCTAATTTTATGACCAGCACCTGTAGAGTTTTTCAACAGTTCAGCTGTCTGATGGCCAGGGCCGGCGATTGCTACAGGCGAGCTAGGCAATTGCCTAGGGCGACAAATGTGTTGGGGGCGCCCTCTAGCGTCGCCCTTAGGCTCACTTCACATTAATCATAGAGCGAATTAAACATTATGAAGCGTCCGTCAGTTTGACTTAACCTTACGTACATATAAATAGCAAAATATGAACAAATAAATATACCACCGTTTTTTGTTTTTTTTTTTTCACATTTAAGAGAAAATCGGAAAAAATTTTGATCACTTTTCAAGCGCCCTCCAACCCGGAAGTCGTGACGTCAATTACTGCAGCATATCCACCAATGTTTTGGAATGAAATTGTAAGCAAACGTACTTGCTTAACTTTGCTCGCGGTCGGGCCCGTCTTCATCATCCACTCAGAGTACCACTGGTAAGCGCGCACACAGACTTTGTAGCCTGTCCGGTCAGTTAAAAATAGTAATTGTGAAATCCGTCTTTTAATCAGCAGCATACAAGCTAGTTAGCTTGAAAAGTAAATAAAGTTTCAGACGTGCTGCGTGATGATGTGTTCAGATTGGCTCAGTAAAACGACAATTAGGTTATCATGATGCGTTCAAGTGTAACGTAAAGAAAACGGGAAATTTTGTTTTTGGCGAGAAACATGAGTAATACAGTTGTATATTGCTCTATATATAATTAAACTACTGATGCCAACATTTATTAAAAATTACATTTAATTTAAAATACAATTATTTTTTTGTTAAATATTTTCCTAATCACTAAAAACATGATGAAAAGTGACAGTAGACAATACATTAACCAACAATTGTGAAAATATATTCTAGTTAGTTTTATGTCATTTCGAAGTGGCCTATTACATTAGCCATGTTTATTGAAGGCTAGAAACGTTTTTGTTATGCTCACTTGTTAAGCAATAGAAGCAATACCAGTTCTGTTAAAAAATTTTGTTGCATCGTCTTTCCACCAAATAACAGAAAAGTATCGATAGTGGTATCGATAAAGACTCGGATCGATAAGGAGTATCGATAAAGGTATCGATATCAATAAATATTAACGATCCCCATCCCTAATGTTGACATCATTTTTTTCTCAGAATTATGTGCTATATTATTAGCTTGAGAATGGGTAGAAGATACTAATATAAATAAAATATTTTGTAGTGATTATCTGCATTGAGTATTCAAAAGGGATGTACAAATAATCATCAAAATATATGAAGTTATAGCTGTTCATCATAGAATATGTGAACAAAAAAAAACAACTTCAAACTTTTAATTTTGTAATGGTATTCATAAAAGCACTTTTGTTTGTAGAGGGTTAATCCTTTCTTTAATCACTAATCAATGTCAGAAATCAGGGTAAATATACCTGATATATTTTATTTAGAGGAAAATTTTGTTTATCTCATTTCTATTTATGTTCAAATGATTTAATTGAACTGGAACAGAAAATTTAATTTAATGTTTATCAATTACTTTTTTATGTAGTCCTTGGTTGAAGAATTTCTTAAATTTATTATTTTTTATTGTTATTTGGTAATTTCTGAAATTGATTTATTTAATATTTGTTTAATGTGTGTTAAATTTGTTAATTGTCTGAAATAAATTAATTCAATGATTCAATCCAGTTTTTTAGTTATACTTTACCTAAGTGTCCTTACAGATGGTTAAAAGTGTTTCTGCACAGTCCTAACTTTGAGTGTGTAATAAATTATTTAAAATAATAAAAAAGAAAAGGTAATGAAACCTATTCTGGTATTTGTCTATGCATCACTCCATGCTAAGTTACAGTTTTTTCTGAATGCTTAAACACAACCTTGATTCTTATAGCACAATTTCTAAAACTATTAATACTTATAGCAAATCCACTCACTGAGTTCACAAAACTAAAAGAACAAACACTGCTTTGCACTCAATTTGCAATTTTGTAACACACACTTTGCACAACTGTAGGCACAATAAACACAACTCAATGAAGCACTAAACAGATGCTGAAAACAGTACTGGTATTTCGCGTGGCAAAAGTGAGGGGCGCAAAACTCAATCTCGCCTAGGGCAACCAAAGGGCTAGAACCGGCCCTGCTGATGGCGGTGGGGAATCTGCTGGACCTGCATCGAATGCTGCATTGTCTCTTTCCAGAGGGCAACAGAGAGAACGGTCCATGGCGGGGGTGTGACATTTATCCCAGCTCTGCGGCGCTGTAGCCTCCACACCACACAGTGAGACAGCTGGTCAGAGCACTCTCTATGGTGCGTCTGTGGAAGGTGGTGAGGATGGGTGAAGGCAGGTGGGCTCCCCTCATTCCGTGCAGGAAATACTAGCGCATTTGTACCCTTTTGACCTGTGAGGTGGTGTTTACAGTTCAGGTGAGATTTTTTGTGATGTGCACTGCCAGGAATCTGGTGCTGCCGACCACCTCTACAACTAAGCTGTTGATGAGCCTTTGCCATTAAACTGTAAGATTTGGGTGAAACGTTTTGGGTTTCCTTCCACAGGTTTCTCTTAGAAGTTAGTGGTAACCATGGCCCTCTCCCCCCCGGACATAACTGGTACATCTGAGCCAGATATATAGGCCACCTTGCTCTAGCCAGGCTAGCCAGACTGATTCCTGCCCTTTCTAATGTTAAAAACTCTCTGGTCTTAACAGACCAGGCCAATTACAGCATTGGAGGCAGACCCATAATGTATCAGGATTATAACTGTGATATGTTTAATGATGCCCTTTATTATGTCCAAAAAGTGCATATCTTTAAAATTTACTAATGTAAGAGCTTTTATTTAAAAAAGAAATAGACATATTTGCTATCAGTGGCTATCTGATTGGTTCTAGACAGCTGCTAAATCTGTTAGTCTGCCTTTTGAAATTGAGTTCTAGCCGCTTCTTTACATATATATATATATTTATATATATTCTATCTTATTTTGCTATTTTGTTTTGTTTTGTTTTTTGTCTGCACCAACAACACCAAGTCAAATTCCTTGTAAGTGCAAACCTACTTGGCAATAAACTTGATTCTGATTCTGATCTGATTCTGATTTACAGACTGAAATGCTGCGTACATGACATGAGTCAGTCTGGTCAGTCAGGATAGCCTTGGTTGCTAATGCCATTTCAGTTCTGCCCCTAACTTGGTTTTGAGATCAGGGATTTGTGATGGTCTATGCAAACCATAATGTTTGTTATCCTTAAGGATCTTCAACTACTTAGACAGTATTCTTCAGGGTATTGTCCATTTAGAAGACGCCCTTGCCTCCACAGTAGAGCATAGCCCAGGGATACTGCCAACAGAGAATTAACTCATATTAAATTTTAAAACATCATTCTGTCCAAAGTCTTCTGTATTAAGTGCCAGACTCCTCAGCCTTAGATACAGTTTATTTAAATATTTTCCAACATTTCAAACATTGGCAGCTTGGTGGATCCAAATGTAGGTTAATTTTGATAAGGATCATGAATCATAAATTTGACAATTAGGATAATAAAGGCATTATGGACGTTGGTAGAAGGTATGGGGTTCTTAATTATTGCCGAGGGAAGGCTTTACAAAAAAGTTAATGTTTAGTAATTAAGTAGGCCCACCAAACATTAGATTAAATTGCAAGATTACTATTACAGAATAGAATAGAATAGAATAGAATAGAAAAAAACTTTATTGTCTACCATACACAATGATGACAGAAATTGGCTTTTGGCTTGCGCACACACAACAATGTAAAAATACAATTAATTAAATTAAATTATAAAAGAGTTCATTGCAGACATAGTAGCAGTAGCAGATTCACTTCATCAGGGGAAGCAGAAGAGACTGTGAAATTTACAACTTGCTCAGCTCCTTGATGGCAGAGGGCACAAAAGAATTTCTGTACCCATTTTTCTTGGCACAATGAAGGGTGTATCTCTGCCGTGATGGAGGGAGGTCAAAGTGACAGGAAAGTGTAATCTTATGACTGACCCGATGCAATGCTTTACTGTAATGCTGAGACAAATTGATGTGTTGTTGGCCTGTAATCTTACTGCTCGGTTTAACAAGTCCGCCAAGTTTAGCTTTGTTTTGGGCAGTTAAATGACCAAACCAGGAAAAAATATTAAATATCAGTACACTCTCAATTAATTATCTGAGTAATTTAGGTCTGTTTATCAAATTAATTAATTTTCTGTTATTTGATTTAATTTCTTATAATTACATCTGCCTAGTTAACATTTTCAATTTTCTGACCAAGCCTCCTGTTGGTTTCTTACCTGTGATTATAGAACCATCTGCTGTTAAAATGGCAGCACCCACAGGGAAGCGGCTGTAAGGACAGTAGGCCATATCCCGGGCCTGCAGGCACTTTGAAACCAGTTCTGTTACTCTATCTGAATAGAAATACTGCATTAACCTTTACTGAAACTACTGGACTCATTGTGAGCCACGTGGGTTATAAGAACATTCAGGAAGCTTGTTAGAGAACTAAAGATGGACTTGCCTGTCATGGTAGCAGAGTTCTCTCCCACTTTGTTAGACTGACTGTTCTGGGCAGAATTTCAGTCTAAAGCTGAACTATCACGTGGTGAACAAATGCACAGTAGCCCTGTTAATGTTTTAAAGAGCTTTTGTTTGTTTTTTTACTTACTGATTGACAGGAGAGAGTTGAGCTGGTTTTCATGATAACATCTCAACTGTTTACCTTCTGCCTGATTGGCTGATTAGCGGTGATGTCATCCACCTGTTTTTCATAGGATCAAACAGAGATTGAGGTCTGTCAAAGTTTACTTTGAACTGAGGGATCAAAAAATATATATATTTCTTAAATCTATTTTTAATTAAATACCTATGGTAAAAGAAAAAACACTACAGCACATTAACAAAAGCCACAATTCGTTGGGATAATTTTAGGATTTACTCCACTGGATCTGAAAAAATTAAAAAACACGAAAAAAAAACTTTATTTTATTTTACATATATCAATCATCTCTCCATTGTAATTCAACACAACAAGATATACAAAGAAAAAAAGAAAAATGTAAGTACAGAGCTAAAATATATTATCTTCAAAAGTTATTCTGACATGTATGAATGCATATTCTTAGTTAAAGATGGTGTAATAAACATGATTCCATTAAAGAACATGCTCATATAAATCCTAAAAGTGATAACATTCTGTTATCTTCTGTGCAGTACTTACACTTTGAATGAATAATTTTTACTTCACATATCCTGATAAAATTATGTTATTGCACTATTTAAGATTTCACAATAAATGTCCTGAATAGCAAATAGCAAAAATGTTCTAAATTGTTTATTGTTATAACATGAGAAGTGAATGTTAGTTGTTCCAATATTACCGTTATTGTATGTATTGTCTTCCAGTTCTTTTTGCAGAAAACTAAGAAAAAAGTAATGCAGCAAACCTAATAGATTAAACGATTATTTTATAGCCTGTTTGAGAAAGGAGTGAAGCCCTGTATGTCAAATCAGTAAAAGCAACTCTAAACAGAGAAAAAAAAACTCAATTTCAGTTTCCAAAAACCTAAGAAAAGTATTAAAGGAGTCATCTCTCAGTAAGCCAGGGTAAGAAGAACACTGACGACTTATAACTTTAGTGGTTTCCAATCTGCATGGGAATTTAGCTCTGCAAAACACTTTTAAAAACTTGGAAATCTTCCTTACCTAGCTTTATATTTGGAGAAGGCCTTTAACTAAATCAATGAATCAATCAATGAAGTAATCAGTCCCATAGGGAAGTTAAATGTTACTGTAACTCATAGCATAGAATATTCTTCAGTGTTTATGGCTTTGGGTAGGACTTAATTTAACTTATTTAAAGTTTATCTTGCATATCTGGAAAAGCCTTAATTAGAGACATTCAGTTTTAAGGGTGTATTAAAGGGTGTGAAATGTATTTAGCCACATTAACTTAAGTCTATTTTTTTAAACCTTTTTTTGAAGTTTATTTAGAATTAACCACACATATTCTGCCTTTTAAAAGTAGTAGACGTTTTTTGAGTTTGTAAAAAATTACACATTTTTTTTTTATCTGTACTGTTTTATTTATTTATTTTTTTTATTTTTCTGTACAGTACTTTGGTCAGATGTTGTTGTTCTTAAGTGCTTAACAAATAAAATTAGATTGGAAAAAAACATTTTTTTGATCAATTTATTTATTTCTATGTTCCATGCAGTTTGGTTAGTGTGCAGCAACAACGAAAAATAACAAACAAATTATGTGTTTGTAACTTTAAACATTATATCAAGTTGCCACAATTTTACAAAAGTAAAATCATACATGAAACTTTCAAGCAATCATATAAATTCTCAAACATTCCTATAAAAATCAGCATCCACTGGAGTCATATGCATGTAGCACAACATTCCTTTGCAAAATTTGGCCAGGTGGACTCCAAATCCAAACATTTCCAACAGGGCATTCCAAAAGGCAAATGTATACAGAGTTTTATTACAGTAGACACCATCAGCAGCTGAGGGATCATAGTTTGGCTGGTAGACTGAAAAAACCCACATGCCACCTAGAGGATACATGGGGAGAAAAAAACAATAGTTTCCCATAGTTAATTTTGGTTTATTCAAAGAGTCTTTACAATAATCTAAAAAGTCACAAAGGCCTGCCTTGGATGCAATATTTTGATACGACTCAAAATTCTGAATCAACAATTCACCCTCTGCAAATCTAAAATATATTTAGGCACTTTAATAGACTGAAATATTCCTTAATGCCCAAATCTGGTCTATATTTGCAGCGAAAGCGACACCAAAACTCACTTAGTTACCGCTTTTACTTATTTGCAGCAGTGCTATCAGAATTAAATATTTCCTTCATATTGGTCATCTGCTTTTTAAGAGGCACACTGAACACATAATACTAGTACATTTTTAAAAGTAAAAATAGTTGAGAACATTTTTTATTATTTTTTATTTTTAATCTTATCTTCAGGGTAACAATATTAATTGGATTGGCAGATCATCTTATATCTTCTTAATTTACAGGGCATGCTGTTTGGTTCAATATCTCCATAAAAACTACAGAATGAGACTAATGCAAGCAGAAATACACTTTATTTGTTATTCTATTCTAATTAAAATTTGATAAAATTTAAATTTTATATAGTCATTTAGGGTCAAATCTAAAAAAAATGTCTCATTCTTGTAAAACAGTTGCTAATCCCTGATTTAAAAAAACACAACTCCATCCACAATTACATTTTTGCAGCGTAATCAAAACTGGTTAGACTTAATCAGTTAAACTAACCTGTATCCAGTGTAAGATAACCTGTTTATGTTGTGTGCTCTGTTAGTTTTACACTGAAAGAAATGCTACAAAACCTTTCATCCTTACCCAACAGGTTCCATATTAAGATAAAAAGGGCCAGCAGACCCTCCAAACATGCTTTGAATCCTGTTGGACGCTCTCTTGGCTGAGCGGCAGAGCTCTCACACGGCAGAGTCACAAAAGACAATAGAGAAAGACAATCCGCAATGTATTGGGGGGAAGCTGTCTTTACTAACCAAAGATCACTCGTGCCACAGCGAGGACGGTCAATGTGATGACAACACCAACTGGAATCATCAAACAGTTCACGTCTTTAAATTAGCTGCATAAATGTCTCATCTGATTAAAATGTAACTTTACCCACTGGTGTAATTGTGACTCAAAGACTGGGTTTCTTAAGAGGTCATTAGCTGTCAGTTTCTTATGTACCTTCTGTAACTCTCTTTAGCCATGATTAAACATTGGAGACTCTGTTGTATCTTTTTAAGGTTTTCTCGGGTATGCTTGTTTATAATAGTTGGCTATTTATTTTAATCAAGTCTTCTTATGCTGATTGGTTCCTTCTCTGGCAGGAGTGGTGCATTGATGTGGCCAAAGATTTCCCATAAACCTTCAGAACATTGGAATCAAGAATGTGTTTCAAATAGTAAAATCAGAATGAAATCACAAAGAAAATGTCAGGAAATGACCATTGTGCACTAAGGGTTGGCCAAAAACTGATAGGTGCCATACTCAGGTGGGTGTATACTAATCACACTATATGGACTGGAAACTGAATGAGCAAAACGTCTGTATTTTACAAATAAATCAGTGAAAACTTGTTAGATTTTCACGAAGCCCTTGCTTCTAAATCAGCACACATATTTAGTGAATTATGTCGATTAAATTGGTTATGGTTCTATATGTACATATACACGTTGAACGGATCGGGCAATTGTTCTGTATCTCTAATTTTGTAGGTAACTTTAGAGACTCATAGCTTTTCCCTTATTATCATAAAGCACAAATCCTACGTCTAAAAAGAGCATTAGCTTGCTTTTTTGTCTTATTTAATGTGAGTATATTGATGTGAATAATTAATTACTGTAGTTTTGTAGTAGGTTTATGGTTAATATACTAACAACTTAAGTTGTTTTAATATCTTTAAATAGCTTCTTGTTTTTAGTAAAACAAAATGTGACAAGAAATGGAAGGACCTGGACATCATGTAGTGATTCTTGTCTGCTTCTGCATGACAAGATGTTGCGTGTACTTCCATGATATCCCACCGTGCTTCCCCTGCTGCACTCGCATTCAGGTCTGAGCCGTTGCACCTGTGGCAGCTCCAATTACTGGTAGCTGCTGATTTTGGGATGAGCAGTGTATATTTCTGGCTCTCCCGGTGTGTAACCGCCAGATTCTTAAAAGCCATTTGTGAGAGTAGACCATCCAGTGTTCCTTGTTATGGCTTCCTGAACTTGACCGGTCATGTTCCTGTTTTTCAACTGCCTGCCTTGTTCATGGACATTGGCCGCCTGCCTTGTCTCTCAACCAAGTCTGTTTTCCTCTGTACCTGCATGGATTGCTCTGTCTAATTGTGTATAACCCAAGCCTGGACCTTATGTCTGCCTTCTGCCTCGGCCCCACTGGAAACATCTGCCTGGCTTGTTTGCCTCCTGTTACAGATTCTTCCGGGTCCCAGGCTCCCCTTTCATCTAGCCATAAGAGAAACCTCTGCCCTGTTGCAGTTTACTTAGTGACCTCTTTCATGATGCTTATTCCATGTGTCAGTTGAATAATATGGTCTCCAGATTCTGTCCAGGCATTGCACAAGAAGTGTTAAGAAATTACTATCAACGATGAAACGAATTAACTACTTTAAAATCCTTCAGCATCTGCTCCTATCAGTGCTGGTAGTCTCTTCTAACAAGCCAGTACTTCTTTGGTTGCTGCTACCAGAGCTGAATATAAAGATTTTCCTCCTCCCTGGGATTCAATTGCTAAGTAATTATAACACTTCACTCTGGCTTTAAGTATTTACTTTACAAATTTACAAATTTACAAATTAAATGTACAAATTTATTTACATAAATTTACAAATTATATTTGCTCAATATTCTCATAAAAGCAGTTGATGTTTTTTAGAAAGTAGCTTATTTACTGAGAATTAGTATTAACAGTGCTTTCAAACAAGTCTGCAGACATTTTCTACGTAATGAAATGTTCAAATTTATTTTCACATGGATGTCAGTTACAGTCATTTTATGATGAAGTTTTTAAATTTTAATTTAAATAATGAATTTCAAAGGTGCACTGGCCAACTGTCCAAAGTGTACCTGTACAATGTGATATAATCGGCTAAAAATCTTTGAATGCACCACCTACCTTGCAATCTGGGAGGTCTTGGAGGTGGCGGAGTCAATTGAAGCCTCCAAACGGTTCCAAGAGTTACTGTCACTGGATGGCCTGTAGATGGGGCTAAACAGTATTGGTTGCTTTAATAATGTTAAGTTATATTAGTCATATCTTACATTAAAATAAATCAATCAATTTTATCTTTATGGTGCTACCTTGATATGGTACCATACCAAAAAATACCCCCAAAAAACACTAAGTCACTTTCTATGCATCTTTATATGTTGGGATCTGGAGGCTTGGCCACTTTCTCCACCAGAGGGCGCCTGAGATCTTCCTCCTGAGGCCATGAGCTCACCTCTACACACCTGTTTCCTGTCTGCTCATCAGAAGACCTATTTAAGGAGGAGGAGGCTGACACTTCCCTGCCAGAGTGTTTGCCAGTAATGGTTAGCAAAACCTGAGCCAGCCTGCCTGATCTGAAACCCTGATTTTTTTTTACCTGTCCGATCCTGTATTCTTCTGCCTCACAGATCCTGACAAATCTGGAAACCTGCCACCCTGGAGAAAATATCTCTGTCTGGAATCTGCCTGCCTGCACTCTGTCTCAATCTCTGCCTCTGCCCTCAGCCCTCTGCCTGCCGACTAGCCTCTGGACCCTCAAGGTTTCCCCCCCTGCTGATCAGATCCCTCTCTGAGCAGGTATTTAACCCCGTCATCTGTAAACTGCAAATTTCCTGGATCAACTCTAACAGCTCTGTCCTCCTCAGTGGTTTTCCTCCCATGACCAGTCTGAAGAACCAAGAACCTGTGCACCATTCATTGTGAACATTGTTAAATACATCATTTAACTTTTTCCCTGCTTCAAGAGTGGTTTCTGCATGTGGGTTAGACGCCTTGAACCCAACATGACATATTTTTAGCTCTTTTAAGGATGTGCTTCATTCTGAGATTGTAAACAAAGTATAAAAATATATTTACTGTAGAGCTATTATGTAACATTACCAACCTATCCTTTACATGCCTAATTCTACACACAAATCAGATCAATAATTCTGTCCAACATCACATTTAGATATAATTATATAAGCATTTACTTGCCTGCCATTTACACCGAGAGGACGTCCTTTCTCTGAATCAGACCGCTCAGATGGTTAAAGTTACACACAGGAGCTCTGTTAGGGCAAATGGGAAACTCCTTGATCAGTTGCTTGTGTTTGTTTGCTTTAATTCAACTTGATGAGCCAGTTTAAGAAAGAAATGTGCCAACAGTATGTTGGCATGACTTTGAGAACAAAAAGAGAAAGTAAAAGTAAAACATTGCAAGACTGCAATGTTGAGAAGTAACAGTGGTTAAATATTTATTAATATTATTCAGACATCTTTCATAAAAGCTACCGTACGGAAGCTCCTTTTTATATTTATTGAAGCAATGAATTATTTGGAAAACACATATTTCTCTTCCTTCTACCAGCTTTATTGTCCAAGTTGAATTAATGCGTAAATATTCAATGCAAATAATCCACCTCTGTAAATTTCTAGTAAATTAAAAGATTCAGAGAGAATTGTTTTACTTTTACTTTTTCTCTTTTGTTTTTCACCCTCCCTCCCAGCCTATCGAAAGCATTTTTAACAGTCTCATCAAGATCAATCTAACCAGCAAACAAAAACAGCTGACCAAGGAATTTCCCCTTTGTTCTCAACAGCTTTTATGTGAATAATCTAAATCTTCTTTGAGGACGGATTCAGAGGGAGGACTTATTGGAACAAATGGCAGGCAAGTTTAATCATCTACAATATCACACAGATAGTAAATATTTTGCTGCAAGGTGACATAGAGGATCTGCATCAGATTTGTAGTGGGGAAAGGTTGCGAATGTCTGCTGGTAAAAAGTAGTAAAAGAAAAAAACAACAAACTTATTGTCGATGGGAACACTACAGGACGTCAACCTAACGTGAACATGTTAGTGCGATTAAAGTCTTCAGTTAATTTATTTCAACACAGGGCTGTGAAATTAATTAATAAAATAGATTAACTGAATTGTCTGTTTATCAGGATGTCATTTTTGGAAAATCTGGATTTTTTATGCACTTCTTGGCTTCCATACTGTAGCTCAGGGTGACATCAATTCATTACTTCTGGTTCTTAGATGTGTAATAACTTATAACTGATAAATTAGATGAGAATGTAAAACATTAGCAAACATTTAGTTTTTTATATTTCCATTTTTTGTTGTGAAACACTGTTTTACAAGTTTTTTCACAGTTTGAATTTTTAATGCCCTTCAAATTAAGGTCACCTCCCATAGGGGATGATTGAAATAAAAGCTAGTATTTAAAAGTACTGTCCCATTTGTCATATTTATTATGAAACTTAAGGAAGGAAAGAAAACAATTAATCATATTTGGTAAGAAAAAATTTCTGAGATCCGATTTTTAAGTAATAGCCCTACTTAAACACTAAATGCACACTTACATGGATATAATTTACTTGAAATCATTGGATAATTCAGCACATTTTGCCTCACTCTGCTTAAAAACATATTGTTGCGCTCAGCCATACTATTTGATCCAATCTGGAATCTAATTAAGCAATACATGCTCTATACTTAGCGCCATCTACAGGCCATGCAGTGACAATAACTGTTGGAACTGTGTGGGAGCTTCACCTGACCAATCCACCACCAAGAACCCCAAGACTCGAGTCAGGTAAGCAGAGCATCCCGGTTTATAAAACAAGTCTCCATGCAGTAATATTTGGTGTTAATTAGAAATGGTTGTTTTGTTGTGAGTTTAGTTTTTTGTGCTTTAATCATAGCCTGACATAGTCCGACTCAATTCTAGTCAGAACTCAAACCTTGTGGGCGGGACTAAGTTCGGACTGGCACCCAGGCTACTTTAATCACCCTCTTGTCCTCCAATGACCCACATATGTTTTTTGTTTGTTGATTTGGCTTCCCTCGCAGATAAAAAAAAAATGTTACTGAAAAGTCAGAAACAATCTATTCATGGTCTATCATTCGTAGTAAGAAGTGAAAATACTTCCGGCTACTGGGTTTGTTTTTTTTAAGTTTCTGCTGGTATATTGACAGCTCCCCAAAGCATTTATATTAATGTTGCACTTAATGTTTACTGGGTTAAATATACTGTTTTATCTGATTAAATGCTTTGTTTTAAGGTGTGAAATTTTATGTTTTTTTCTAATTTGTGTATTGATATACAGGTATGCAAATATAAGTTGACAATACTGGTCTAATTATTACAGTTGTAACTGCAGTAATATGGATTGCCCTTACTGTGGCCCGAGGGATCTTCGGTTGGTGAAGTATTTCTTTAACATGTTAGCCTCTTATTGTCTTTGAGTAATTATATGAGTTATTAACCCTAATCTCTCACCAGGAGTGCTGTATTTCTGGGACTGCCCTCAGCAGCCGTACATCCCCAAATTTCTATTGGGGATGTTTTTTTTCTCCCTGATGATTTTGTTGGGGATAATTCCTTTGGCGAATGATGCTGCTCGACCACGACAGCATCCCAGAGGTTTCAAAGTCTATTTGCAGTGCTTCTCAGGCCTGTTTATCATCATTTGGATCCTGCTAGGTACTAAGGAAAATATCAAAAGCTGATTTTCTTTTCTTAAATGCCTTATGTCTGTGCTGTTTGTTAGTTTTTTTCTAAAGATACAGTTTCACTTCTGTCTCAACTAACACAAAAGACGCTTTAAAGCTATATGACTTTGATCCAGCTTAAGTCCTCATTAAATGTGGAGTTCCTGAAGGCTTCCTCCTAAGCTCTTTCCAGTTCTTTTTTACATTATGTTGGATCAAATCTTAATTTTTTATCATATTTATTGCTCAAAAGTTATTCTACAGGAAACTAACGTTATGTTTTTGTCCTGTGTATCTCCCAGGTGATGTGTGGGTTTTCTCTGTCTATCAGCCAAACTACGACCCCTCAGCTGCTGATGGTCTTTACTGTAATAAATCGCTGTACACGTTTGCCTTCTGGAACGCTCTATTTGAGACGCTTGCATTTGTCGTCCTCCTGGCCCGACTCTGCAAAGGATTGCTATGCTATGTGAATATGAGTCCAGTAGACACTGATTTCTACAGGAATGTCTGATGGACTGCATGAATACTTGTCAAATTTGTGTAAGGTTTTATTTACATATATGCACAGGTGGTTAATCCAGGTCTAGAATGTAGAAACTCTGCCTAGTTTTCCTTCATCATAGTCCTAATAAGCAGGTGATTAGCCTCCAGTCTGTTGTATGGAACTGAAAATGCAAGATGTTGGAACTAACCTCTATAGAGGCATTTTACTTTCTGGACCTGGATTAACCACCTCTGATAGTCTGCATGTGCTATAGCAAAACGCTGTGATTCATTATCTAAAGCAAGTAAATGATTAATACTCTTAATTCTATTTGGAGGAACACAATTGGAACATGCCTGTAGGAAAATACTGTTTCTTTTTTGCTTTGCGAGCCAGACATTCAGTTTTTACTAAATTTTCTAAAACATGTGATACATTTTTTTTTTATCTAGATTAGAACTTTCTGTTTTTATATCAATGTCAGCCTTATCATTGTCATTTTTATTAATACACTTTTGCATTTTGATGAACACTTTCGTTTTGAAATAAAAATGAACTGTGTGAAAATCCAACTGTATAGGGTAAAACACGTAATTTAAAACTTTTTTGCATTTTGTGTTTTTTTTTATTTTTATTATTTTGTTCATCATGACCTCTTTAAGCAGTGTGCAACTCAGTCGCCCCTGGATCATGGTTTCGTGTCCAAGCAAAATGTTAAAAATATAACCAAGGCTCTTTGATCTTAAAAAATCATTTCATATTCATATAACTTTGGATGGACTAAGAGAAAAAAGCAGTACTGCACAAGTGCTGTCAAGAGAGGCCTAAACAATATATGCACAACAGTAAAGATTGATTAACCTTTAAATCAATTCTGCCTTTATTGCAGCACCATACACTGCAGAGGACATAGAATAAAAAGCAATAAAGATTAGAGAAGCATAAGATTTGGAGATTTTTATTTTAATCAAATATTAAAAGGTTAGTCAGACAGTAGATATTGGCAAGTTTAGGGAAGTAAAAGTTTCTTATCTTATCGTCACTTTTGAAGATCAACACACATCTGCCTTACAGGAACTGGTAAACCAATAAAATGAGAAAATGCTAATAAATCTTTGTGACACATTCTGTGGTTGTGAACTGGTCATCTCTCGGTTGTTTGTGACAAAGACTTCGACAAAAAACAGTTTTGTTTCAGAAGCTGATTTAAACACAGCAATATTTTCAACTGGATATTTTACTATTTAACCAAAGGGTGAAGGAGTAATTCGAGTGATCCTTTGTATTTCCTGGCTGTGAGACACAAGGACTAAAATCTCTAATTAATCTGTTCAAGTAAAGCCTGGGCCCCATATCAGCGGAAAATTCAGGTCTTTAAATGCATTAGGAAAAAAACCTATAAAGTTACCAAAGTAAATGTCATGTTAAATCTACATTTTTATTAAGCATCAGCTGCATTGTTTTTAAATATAGGAATAACAAAGCGGAATCCTGCAATGTAATTTTTGAGAATATAAAAAAACCTTTTTCTTTTTATTTATTTTTTTAAATAGTCCAGTTATTCATTCTTAAAAACTCTCTTTGTTTGACGCCTTAAGGGGAATCCTGAATGGACAAAGACGAAGATTTTGCCTACAGAAGAGTTGCCACCCAAAAATGGCTTTATGAGTGAAATTATTAGAAATAATTAATTTACTTTATGTAGACAGATTACACACAATTTTACATTTAACAATAGGCTACAGTGTTTTTATAACTAATAAGTCTGGTTATTAGTAATAAAATGTTAAATAAAAAAGTTCATTGCTGCTTGACCTAATATTGTAGAACTGAAGATTCAAATGGGGGAAAAAACCCTCCTGAAAACACAATAAACCTCAATCCAGTTATGGGTTAAAAGACTCAGACTATCAGTGAACCAGCCTACAGCTACCTTAAAGTATCCCCAGTGTAAAGGATTTCCTAGCTAAAGAGCACAAAACACTTAGTGGTGCATGCTTTTATTTTCATTACATTATTTAATTGTGATTTAATTTAAAAACTTTCTATACAAAATCAATAATTGCTAAGAGTTTAAGGACTTTAGAACATTGATAGTGGTAAATAAGGAACATAATGACCTTAATACAATTGGACATGTAAGAACATGGGGGATCTGGTCTCAATGAGGTTTTTTTTAGCTTCAGTGATCTAAAAAAAAAAAAAGAAATAAACCAGTGCTTCCTTTAAAACAGAAGAGAAGAGGTCATTATTCATCACAGCTTCTTTATAAAGACAAAAGTTTATTCCATCTGTTCAATTAAGTATAACGTTGTTATGCTGTCTAAATAATCCCCCACAATAAAACACTGTTTTTTTATTTATAGAAAACTGTATATAGATATCACTGCATGAAAAGTGGGATTTTCGTCAATATACGGCACTGTAGATTGTCGTGGAACTTCAGGTTAGCGGCAGTATACGGCAATTTGCAGGCTTCGACGAAAACTCCCGTAAATTGTCAGAAATTGACGTGGAATTTCTTAGGCAGTGTTCCCCCCATGCCTCCCCCCCATGGAATTCTAGGGGAGGCTTTAACATGTAAATGAACATGCTGTGAGCTATACAAATGCAAACCCCCCCTGCAACCCTGGGTAAGAAAATCTCTGATACAAAGAGATCAGGTATAGCCTCTTACATTTTAGCTTGAATTGATTTATTTAATTAAAGTATAGAGACAAAAACAGATCTTTAGCTGACAGAGCAATACATTTAGAGCAGTAATTATTATTTTTTTAAATTTGCATTTAAGATAAAAAATAAAATGTTGTCTGTCAATATGCTCAATTCACAATTACTTAAGTGGAAAAGTTTCAAGAAATGATTCTGAGATGATTCACTTTATAACATGGCGCATTATCCTGTTGGAAGTAGCCATCAGAAGATTGGTACACTGTGGTCATAAGGACATAGGTCAGCATGCTAAATTGGTATTAAGTGGCCCAAAGTGTGGCAATAAATATCCCCCAAATAGATGGTAGCTTGAATTGATTTATTTAATTAAAGTACGCTAGATTACTGTGTATGCAAATGTTATGTAAAAAAAATACACAAAATAATTTACTTCAAAAATTAGTTTTAATCAGAATCAGTTGGCTGTAATGGTTAATTTTTTTTTTTAGATTTCCACTTTTTTTTTTGTTTGTTATTGAATATATAAGAAAACAATAACAATCTCAAATAACAAGTCAATAACAAATATTCCAATACAAGAAGAAATATCACAACTCCTGCTTTTGAAAAATAAAATTAAATGCACAGGCTGGAACAAAGTATAAAATAAAATAAAATAAATAAAAATAAATAAAATAATAATAGTAGTTAAAGTAAATTAATCAGTGGGGACTACCAACTGAAATTCTTCAATTAACTCAAACAATTTAATTGCATTTAAATTCTGCATCTTTCTCAGACATCTTTTGAAAAGGGAAAGTTCATTTTTGAGAGCAGAGATTGGGAGGGAGCATTTTGCATAGCGACATTTATGGATATAATACTTTGTTACAATTATTAGAATATTGATTAAAAATTCCAAAATTTTTTTTCTTTAATGGATAAACCGAATTGAATGTTTTGCCAGGAAATAAAATCTAAATTTATTGTTTTAGTTTTTGGGAATATATACAAACTATGCTCTAATTTCTAGATACCGATCTGTTTTTACTATAATTTAATTTGACAAACCGGGTCTTCTCTACATTCTTTTTTCTGTTTGGTGCGATTGCAATAGCGGGTCTTGATCTGGACGGACCGGAGGGGAGCAAAAAATAGCTCAGCTCCGTATTTTGACGGTGAAGGACGGAGAAGACGTACGTGGGCGGTGACGAGCGGAGGATGTGGAACAGCTCTCATTGATTTACATGACAGACAAGTAATACAGATAGTAGGATGGACATTTTATTAGAAATAAATCATACACTGTTCAGAATACGAAACATGGGGCTGATAGTTACATTTGTGTGGGTTCCAGCACATATTGGGGTGGAAGGAAACGAGAGGGCAGATAAAATGGCAAAAAGGGCAATTAAACATTCTATTAGTTTTATAGTTAAAATAAGTAAATCAGAAGGAAAGAGTATTATTAAAGAGAAACTTATGGAAATTTGGCAAAAAAGGTGGGATGAAGATAAAACAGGAAGATGGTTTTATAAAATTCAGAAGATGGTAGGAGAAAGAAGAAATGGAAGAAGAAATAGAAAGGATGAAAGAGTGATAACAAGGTTAAGATTTGGTCATACAGGACTTAATCATACACTTTTTAAAATACAAAAACATAAAACGGGCAAATGTGATTTCTGTGATAAATATGAAACCATAGAACATGTTATATTAGAATGTCATAAATATGAAAAAGAGAGAAGATATATGAGAAGAGAGTTTGAAGACATTAAGGAGAAGGTTAATTTATTAGATATACTGAGGAAAAATTTAGGGAGTAAACACATACAAATAATTATTCGATTTCTAAAGAAAACGAAATTATTCCATAGAATTTAATTATAGTAAGTGTGTTTGTGTGTGAAGGAATGATATACAAAGCTGTGCACAAATATGTTTATATTTTTAAGTGTGAATGTGTGAATGTATGTTTAGAAGAAGTTAGGGTAGAATGTATCAGGATCAATATTTAAACCATCACGAACCACACTCCATACCAGTAAGTGGCGGTAATGCTACTAACAGTTTGTTGCCAACCGCCATAAAACTCGACAACAAGAAGAAGAAGAAAGACAAGTACTCCGTACGTGAGCGGGGCGGAGCGCTGACGGAGTATGTGGAATCTGGGGGTAAAGGAGGATAAATACACGTCCGGCTGGGTGCAACGCCGGACAGTGCAATGATAATCCGGACTGTCCGCCCTAAAATCGAACATCTGGCCACCCTATCTGCAGTCGAGCAACTTTGCGGGATATACGAACTCGAGGAAGAGAAGACGGGTGCACAACGCCACGCTAGCGGTAAATATTTGTTCGATTACTGGTAGCTATGCTAAAAGCAGCCTAGCTTAGCTAGGCAAGCTAAAGACAGCCTAGCCTAGCTAGGTAAGCTAAAAGCAGCCTAGCCTAAAGCTTTACTAAAGTGTATTTTTTGTGATTCACAGGAAGCATTATGCCGTCTTAACAACTCGGAGACTAATTGCAGGCGCTATGAACCGGCAGGGGTAAGGTTTAAAGAATATGCTTTCATTCTGCGGTAAAAGGACATGGATACGGATGGATACCGACCATAGCTGTACTTTTTTTTTTTTCACAGACTACAGTCGCCTCACAATGAGGCGGTGACCTCCTATTTGCTCGGATTTGCACGATGTTGA